GATATATGTGATTTGTGTGACGAAAAGAAAAAAGAAAATTTGGAACATTTATACTCGTGTAAGATATATAGAGGGTATAATAAAGGGAACGGGTAGAAGATTGGAAAAGTGATGACCCAAAAATACTAAAACCAGCACTAGAATATGTTAGAAAGGCATTATCAATTAGAGAAAGTAAATTAATTAATGCTAACTTGTAGACAGAATTTCCTTATCTACAGGATTTCCCCGCACATTCCAAGAGAATCTGTGCCTTGTGAAATACAAGAGAGGGACCCCAAGATACAAGATAAAAGATACAAGGGAAACGAGCCCAATCTAGACACAAATGGAAGATGGTAGCCCTGTGATGTTATGCTTTTATCATGCTAACATTTGATTAATATTGAATCAATAAGCTATCTATTATTGCACTATCACTAGCGGTAATGCTTTTATATAGTCTTTCTTTCTCTCTGTGTCTTTCGAGGTGCGTAGCATACGCTAATATAGCTCCAAGGAAGGGTCTTTGCTAGGGTTAGGGGACGTTTGTATTGACGTTAGTGTAGTGGCCCCAGGGCCGTACGCAGCAGGGGGGCAGCAGGGGCAGTTGCCCACCCTAGAGATTTTCAGAGTATGCCTTTTAATGGGACAAATAGGGCAATAGAGGGCGTGGGGAGTACCTTTGCCCCCCCTACAGAAAATTTTCTGCGTATTTGCCCCCCTACATAAAATTCCCTGCGTACGGCCTTGAGTGGCCCTAGGGGTGGCCGACTACGGTTCTTCGACAGACGTTGTTTCGTTAACGCGTGTCCCAGTTGTTGGATTTAGTGTATATTAGGCAGGACGGTGATGTCACGTAGCAGATAACAGGTAGCACCAATTGAACAGAACACAGTGAGATTCGGTTAACGGTACGGTTATAGCTTTATTGGTTGTTACTACTACTAGTTCACAAATAATTCCTCTGCGTTCGGATATGTGCCGCAGATCCTATCACCACTAGATTAATATTGACGAAGTAACGCGTCACCGGTTTCGTCCTCCTCTCTCACGTTCGTCCTCTCCTCGCGTAGACCTAGGCAGTCTCCAAAGGTGTCTCCCTCTCCTCCACGCATGGCTCTACCTAACCGGAAGCCCGTTCTTCTCCTTCCTCGTTTTATTCCTCTCTCCCGTTTATCTCCGGTTTTCACCTACCTGAAAACCTGAGCCTCTAGCCCCTCTCTCGACAACGTTTCTGCTCCCTCTCTCTACTTCTTCCTCCGTCTCCTTCTTCCTCCTCCTTCTTCTTCCTCGTCCTCTTTCTTCCTCCTACCTGTACCTGAAAAACAACTCACCGCTCTGCGATTCGGCGCGCCTTATATACTTAGCCGGCCCGCAGATTTCGTACGCTGGCGCAATCCGTACCTGGGGCCGGATTCATTAACGTTGCGTAAAGTGTATTGCGTACACCGAGTTTCTACGAAGTACGTACGCAAAGCTCGTAGGTGCGATTCATCAACGCAGCGTAGCACCTGCGTACGCAAATGTTGATGAATTCCAGTGTAAATCCACTACGCCATCGTGGCTGCTGGCTGTTGAGAGGCGTGCCTAGCATAAACCAATCATACTGTGCGACACATACCGATAGGAACCAAACTGACGCCTCTCTTATATTTAAACTATATGGCTCGTCTAGCTCTGTCTACATGAGTGCTGGGGGATGTGATAGTGTCCACATTTTCGTTTGTATGATTGCGTTCAACACTCATGAAAGCAGCGACACGTACACGTGCGTGCGTGCGTGTGTACGTACACGTGTGTGCGTGCGTGCGTGCGTGTGTCCACGTACACGTGCGTGTGTGCACGTACACGTGCGTGCGTGCGTGTGCACGTACACGTGCGTGCGTGCGTGTGTACGTACACGTGCGTGCGTGCGTGCGTGTCACGTACACGTGCGTACGTGCGTGTGTACGTACACGGGCGTGCGTGCGTGCGTGTGCACGTACACGTGTGTGCGTGCGTGCGTGCGTTTGTACGTACACGGGCGCGCGTGCGTGCGTGTGCACGTACACGTGCGTGCGTGCGTGCATGTGCACGTGCGTGCGTGTGTGTGCACGTACACGTCGTGCGTGCGTGCTGTGTACGTACACGGGCGTGCGTGCGTGTGCACGTACACGTGCGTGCGTGATTGTGCACGTGTGCGTGCGTGCGTGTGGCACGTACACGTGGTGTGTCGTGTGTGCGTGCGCATCGGTACGTACACGTGGCGTGCGTGCGTGTGTGCGTGCCGTGTGTAACGTACACGTGCGTACGTGCGTGTGGGCACGTGCGTGCGTGCGTGCATCGTGCACGTGGCGTTGCGTGTCGTACCGTACACGGAACCACGTACGCTTCGTGTCACGTACACGTGGCGTGCTGTGCGTGAGCACGTACACGTGCGTGGCGTGTGACAGCGTACAAGTGCTGTGCGTGCTGCACTGTACACGTGCGTGCGTGCGTAACGCAATGCCAAGCTTATGAGCACAAGAAGCGTCAAAGCGGCCGGCCTGTCTGTGTAGTATTGTAATTATCTATTTATTTTTAGTTGAGTAGGTAATTTTATAATGTTTTCTCAATAAAATAATGCATGCCTGCGCTATGTTGGAAACACTTGGGGAAATTTCGAGTGGTTTACGGCACCTCTTCAGCTCGTGTAAAGCTACGCAAAGTTTTACGTATATTTTTGCTTGATAAATCGCACCTAAAACGGCCTCGCTTGCGTACGCGAAATCGTACGCAAATTTACTAAATAGCTGTGTTGATGAATCGCAACTAAGCAACGTCGATTGCTTACACAAGATTTACGCAAAATATTTTGCGTACGCAGCTTGATGAATCTACCCCCTGAGTAAATATTCCTCTCTTCGACAACTTAGACTCTTCATTTTATTCAAATCCCTTCATATATTATGCTGACTAATAATACATAAACCGCGTTGATTATTATATTCTATTTATCGCGTTATCGCTTTTCGCGTAAACACTCCTTGTTTTCCCCCCGACAGGCAGCAGCAGCAGCAGTGATAGCATGATCCAAGATGGCTGCGCCCATGGACGTGCGTGTTGACATATATTTGTGTGCAGTCTATATCTTATCCTCTCTTTAGTAAATATATGGCTATATTCCATCTATACCGCGAGTTCAGCCTATCCATCCTGATCTAGTCTACTAGCTGCTCCTGTAAGTTACACACCCCTGAAATCTCCACATTACGCAGTCATTAGTCACACAACCTGGTTCGCACTCACAGCCACAGGCACTTGAAGCGTTTCAATAAAATATAATGCTAAATAAATACGAAATCTATTTACTACCAAAGTCTTAATGTTTCTATACTCTCTTTCACCTATTATTGCCGACAATTTCCTGTAAATTCCGTCCAAATGCTCATCTACAACAAGCACTGGCTGCCGCCAAGCGCCATTGCTGCCGCTGCAGTGCTGCACACTGACACTTAAGTTATATATATAGTGGTATAGTAACTATATATATAATAGTTATATATATATATATATATATAAGATTAAGTCTTTAAGACTTTGGTAGTAAATAGATTTCGTATTTATTTAGCATTATATTGTTTCAGTGCAAGTGCCGAAATTTGTGTTTTTTTCCGATCTGGTAGGCCTACCTGACACCCCAGGGTTCAGATATCTATTCGCCGATAGTGCTATTAGGTTGATTACAACCTTATACATCACGGCACTCGAGTCGAAGCGTCTAGTAGTAGTACTGTAGTCTGTAGGTTTAATACATACATGTAAATCAGCCCTCGACACTAACAGTTGTCCGATTGCCCGGGACAAGTAAAAGGCTACGTCGGACAAGTTATTCTCTTGGCTAGTTGCCCGATCGGACAACAACAAAATTTCCAGTTGTGTCAAATTCCTAACATCCTTCGAGCCAGGGCGCTATTGCACGACATTTTTCACGTTATATTTTCGAAAGTTGCCGAAAATAAGCAGCCCGCAACACCCGTGTCTGTGGCTGTGCACATCGTGGCTGCATGTGTACGTGCCTGCTGGCTGGGGCGGCATTGAAGTACGGGGTGTGGGGTGGGGGGAGTGCACCGATTGTTTCAGTCCCGTGGGGCATGGTCATTACTGAATGTAAGGGGTTGGTCACCACTGGTATGAGAGAGCGACAGCAAAACTCTTTCCTGGAATTGAGAAAAAAGCTGCAATCGGCATGCAAAAATGGACGTTGTGTGAATTTTATTAAGATTTTCCATGTATATACAGTAATACGATATGCACTGAACTAAAAATCTACCTTAATGGCTCTAGATTGCAAGTAAATTTTGGACAAGTAAAACCAAAATTCGAACAAGTAAAAATTGCTTCTTGTTGCCCGACAGGACAACCAGATCTGAAAATAAGCGTCGAGGCCAGATTATAGAACAAGTAAAATATGCAAGCCTATGCATGTAGACTAGCTATAATTTGAACTGGATTGAGCGAGACAATAGCCTGCATATGTTCCGCGAAACAATGAGTCATATTTTTTACCAGGAATTTGCTGTACATTGAGCTGCATACACTGCGCCATCGGCATTTCTGATGACGACATACAAATAGAATTTTACTGTTGCTTGTATTACATGGGACCTGTCTGAGGGCGACGACTTGTACATAATACCCCCGTCACACCGGGGTGGCGTCCTTACTGCGCTGCTACGGCGACGGAAAATGGGCCCAGAGCGCGCCAAGGTCGCCATAAGCGTGGTATAAGCGTGGTGGAAACGCCAGACATCGTGGTGTGGTCGCCATGGTCGCCAATGATCGCCGAGTCACGGCGTTTGTTTTGAGCATGTTCAAAACAAATGCCAAGGTTCGGCGATCTGACCTGGAACGCGGTGAGAACGCGGTGGGGTCGCCAAGGTCGTGAGACAAGTGCCGTAACATCTCCATAAACGTAGTACACGTGCAGTACACGCGTGGCAAAGACGCTGCGAAAATGGTAACATTTTCAACGGAGAATTCATGAATCTGTCATCCGATCTGCCGATCTGTTTCATGCCGATCTGTCTCGGCCACGGCCACGGCCTCGGCCTCTGGTAGCTTGTTTCTTCGGCATCGTGTTTCTACTCAGCAAACGCACAACTATACAGTTAAAATTTTCGAAAATCTGACCAGCTTATATAGTCGCCGTGAGAACGTGGTAGAAACGCCGTGAGGTCGCCGTGCAGTCGCGATACACGTAGAAGACGCGTGGTAAGAACCCCATGAGCGTGGTGAGAGCGCCGCGGGAACGCCGGTGATCGCCGTTGCCAAGCCCATAGATCTCAATAGAAACGCCATAAGCGCGGAGAGGTCGTGGCGGGCGCGCCGTGAGAACGCGGTATGATCGCACAGGTCGCGGTAAGAGCGCGGTTTTTTTTCAAGTTTGTAATTTGTTGGGACTTTTTCTCGCGTTGTGTTCGCATTTGCCGGCGACCTTGTACATTTTATGGTCGCCGTACGGTCGCGGATGGTCGCCGTCCGGTGTGACAGGGGTATTATGACGGCTTGTAAATGACGACTTAGGCGGAGCTATTCAAATGGATTTATCATTAGAGAAAATTGGAACTTTTACTTCCATGACGACTTACGCGAATTGACGAGTTAGACGATGGCGTCTTATGCGAGTTTTACTGTAGTAAAAATTACTAGTAGTTTCAAGAAACAGTCATGTCTTCCAAGAAACGATGCTGTATTATCCCAACTTACTGTAAGCAAGTGAATCGTTTAGGCTTGTATCAATAAATAACATTTCAGAGTCATATGATCATACTACACTCCTTCAATAGCAGCACCAGTGGTGTCAAGGTAGCTCCAAGAAACGGTATTGATAGGGTTAGAATACCGTATAGAAAATCCGTCGCACAGCCTGGTCGGGCTAGTGTCAAGGAAGCAAATAACACAGTGTATGTAAAAGCATCATATCAAGTTTACATCTTTCCTGTGTGTGGTAAATTTCAAGCATTCAAGACCATTCTAAAACGTTCAGCATAATTTGTTTCTTTATTAATTGTTCTTTCTTGATATTTTTTTGCCCTGCATTGTCATTTCTTAGTTTGCCTACTGGATACCCATTATTCATTTTTTTCAGATTAAGTTCCTCACATAGCATTCATGGCTGTATCAGAGGAGGGAGCCTTGCTGCAGTTTGTGCCATTCTCGTCTGCCCTTGATGGCAGCTTCTGGCATGCCCTCACCAAGAATAAACTCGAGGTATACAGGCTAGATGAGGCACCGAGGTCTGTACACGGATTCTACAGCAATGGTAGGCTTAAATATGGATAGCTATTATTCTTTACCCCTTTGTTGTTAATACCCGTGTAAACAAGATAAAATGAATAAATGAAATCCTATGGCTTTTTCAAAATTAAATTTTTTTAAAGTGAATTAACCCGTGGTTATATATTCGATGCCACAAGACATTACTGTCTACAATAATTCTTTCACAGGTTATGCGGAGGGTTTGCCAAGTTCCATGAACCTAGATATGACTGCATTTGATGAGTAAGTGGTGCCACATATGTGTTTTTTATTCACATTATCACGTGAGATGACAGCAACTCTAGAGTAAACTGACACCTCTAGAACATGGTTACATGTAAACAAACAGAGGCGTCGTTGCCATAGTGTCCACATTGCATTGAGTGTGTTTTCCCGTTACAGTGATGCTGTCATCCCTGCTCTGTGCTTTCCATCTCGCGGAACGCTCATCCCGTTCAACACCCTTGATGCATTTAAAACCAGTGATAAGAAGCAGCTGCTGCAGCAGGAAGCAAAGAAGGTTAGCGAAACAAAACCTGGTATCTTTTCCAAACCTACCCAAAAATTCGAACACAGAAATAGCAAGTCTTACAGTACAGGGTTGCCTTGCGTATACAATTGAGATACAGAAATGCATACAATCTGACATGTTGCTCTGAATTTTGAAGTTGTGGAACTGTGTTCCGTCTCTAAGTTCAGGTAATGTGACATGGGAATACTAATGAAAATAATTCTCATTAAATAATTTTTTTAATTAGATGAAAGACGTTATTTTGGAAGGGATTGGTTTCTTTAGTGGTCATGCACGTCTCGTGATGAGAGGGGAATACATACACAATCATGTCCCATATTGCAGATGTGGAACGATATTCAGTCCGGTGCAGCATTGAGACAACCTGATCTCCTATCAAGGTTTCTTCTACTCTGCTTTGCTGTGAGTAAACGCACTAGATGCACCATATTTTCCATGGAAATATGAAGGCGGCGAGCTAGATACCATACAAAAGTCTCCATGCTCACTAGTGTAGTAAGCGCAAGGGGGGCAATGTGGCCAGGTGAACAGTGTTTTGCTATTAGCTGTTATTATTCGTTGCGTGTAGACTGACAGTGCCGATGAAATGCAAGATCACTTACTACACGTCATGCGGCTGTGGTCGGCTGTCGATGAGAAATTTTGCCGTGTTTTGCATTTGTAGGATTTGAAGAAGTATCATTACTACTACTGGTTTGCCTTTCCTGCATTGTCGTTGCCAGAAAAGTGCAATGTTCTGGAGACTAAAACCCTGAAGCAGTATTACGGCTCCGAGAAGGTGGGTGTCATCTACATATATGCTTGTTAAGTGCAGTCGTTTCTTCTATGCATATCTCGTAATGCTATTTATCGATTACTGATCACACTCTTTTACGTCTCCAATGCAGTTTTTCTCCCAGCATTTACAGCAGGTGTTTTCTTGACAATTTCTTTCAAATGCTGTTCTGGGTATCCATGTTTTTATCGTATGGAGCAGTAATCCCATGCAGAATTCTTCTTCTGTGCACGCTGGCCCTATTCAGTACAATACTCTGCTTCTCTCCTTGTATGCCTCGGTGCACTCTCTCCTTGTACCTTTTCTTCTGTTATCACTTCTGCTATATGTATGAAGCACACTTCGATCAGATAAAAAATGCAGATCCTTTTTTGCCCATGTGCACTGCTGCATCACAATTCTAATTAGTAGTTTCTTTCCTATTTCAGATTTTACAATTGCAACAGGCTCATGACACGTTCTGTAAGGATAAAGTCCCTCCTGCCTTTGTGATCCTGGAGAAATCCTCCACCATTTCATTCCACGCACTCAGTGAGTTTGAGAAGCTGCAAAATGATCAAGAGGGTACGTCTGTGCATTATGGTATACCATGTTAGCGGAAATAACAAAATATGCATTTATTTATTAGAAGGTAGAACAAATTAACAACTGAAAATCAAAAAGGTGGGGAGAAAAGTTTCATAGCAGTCTACTAGCGTACATGGTTTTTGATAAAACCATGACCAATGCATCTTTTAAGTTGTATAAATGAAAATTTCGTTACGATGCAGCCAGTGTGATGCTTGGATTCAGCGATCCATCTACGATGGAAGCGTACGCAGGCTGGCCCCTACGTAACCTACTAGCTCTTGTCACCGTGATATGGTAACTATCATCGTTACTGTAATGTTTTCTGTTAGCGTACGAAATCCAAGCATTGATTTTTTTTTTTGGTACGGTCTTCCAGTTGAATTTAAATTTGAGAAATGTAAATGTTGGTATGAAAATGTGTGATATGTAAATGTTGAAATGTGAGTGTAAATGTACATGTCAGGCAGTGGAGTGAAATATCGTAATTTTCTCATGTTGTTTTACTGCTATATTCTGTTGTTTGCTTTACGCATGACTATAGGGCAGGACTGAGCGAGTTGACAGTGCTATGCTATAGAAACCGAGTGAAAGATGGAAGGAGGGAATGTTCTCACAGCTTGGTTCTGCGCGTGAGATTGTCCCAGTCTGACCCTCCCACGGGTACGTTTTACGACGACATATCGCATCGTAGCAGTTAAGTGTTTTCCTTTTCTGAGCTAGTAGCCGTATTACTGTATATTATCCATGAACTGGTGCGGGAAGGCAGTGGGAATTAGCTCTGTCTACATTCTAGTGGTGTGATTGGGTAGCCTTGTGATGCTGCAGTGTTTCATGTGACTACAGCTTGTCCCAGAGCCGTCGGATGGGAGAAGAATGAAGCGCAGAGGCTTGTGCCCAGAATGGTCGACCTCAGCTCATCTATGGATCCTAGCAGGTACGACACGATCATGAATGAATCATTCGTTCTACATCTTCTTTATGTGCTACCACACGTTTCACATGTGTGCTTCCCTGCTGCTGGCTCATTTTTCGTTTTTTCTAGAGTATAATGAAAATATGCCGCCAGACATGAAAATTAATCAGTGGTTTTGGCATTCCTCGTGTTTGTTCGTGATACACGTGTGTAGTAAACGCTGCGTGAGCGGCCACCTCTATAGGAAGGTCACCTGTCTATAAAGGACTCTTGCAATTTCAATTGAGAGGCAATTATACAGTGAAACGACCTGTGTAGAATGGAAACTTCTCCATAAAGTACACTTTTGCGGTTTAGCTCGAGTACTACAGGTTTGACTGGATACAGTAGTGAATGCATGCTGTCAGGGAGTGAGATTCTCAAGTATGAGTGTAGCTGGTGTTCCTGCTCATAATGCGTGTGTGTATGTATATTCATTCCTGTTGATAATGTTTTCATATATATATGTTCTTGAATGTTCTGCTCTATAGCTTGATGATGATGATGATGATGACTATGGTAATGATGGTAATGATGATAATGATGATAATGACAATAATGATGATTCTATGTGCAGGCTAGCTGAGTCGGCCATCGATCTCAACCTGAAGCTGATGCGATGGCGTCTGTTGCCCTCTCTCGATCTGGAGCAGATATCGAACACGAGGTGTCTGCTGCTCGGTGCCGGCACCCTGGGATGCAACGTCGCTCGCAGCCTCCTGGTAACATCTTCCCCGACGACGCTGCGTTACGTCGCGTAACGACGCACCGTCCTGCCGTGACGTCGCGTAACGACGCACCGAAGGCGTAACGACGCACCGCGCCGCGTAACGACGCACCGTCGCCGCGTAACGACGCACCGTCGCCGCGTAACGACGCCCGTCGCCGCGTGACGTCACGTAACGGGCTCATCATCGTCGCGTAACGTCGCGTAACGAAGGCACGACGCTGCGTTACGTCGCGTAACGACGCACCGTCACTGCATGACATCGCGTGACGACGCACCGTCGCCGCGTGACATCGCGTAACGACGCACCGTCACCGCGTGACGTCGCGTAACGACGCACCGTCGCCGCGTGACATCACGTAACGACGCACCGTCTGCCGCGTGACATCGCGTAACGACGGCACCGTCGCGCGTGACGTCACGTAACGACGCACCCTCGCCGCGTGACATCACGTAAGCGACGGCACCGTCGCCGCGTGACATCGCGTAACGACGCACCGTCGCCGCGTGACGTCACGTAACGACGCCACCGTTCGCGCGTGACGTCACTAACGACCACCGTCGCGCGTGACATCACGTAACCGACGCACCGTCGCCGCGTGACATCGCGTAACGACGCACCGTCGCGCGTGACATCGCCGTAACGACGCACCGTCACCGCGTAACGACGCGTAACGACGCACCGTCGCCGCGTGACATCACGTAACGACGCACCGTCGCCGCGTGACATCGCGTAACGCGACCGTCGCGCGTGACGTCGCTAACGACACACGTCGCCGCGTGACGTCGCGTAACGACGCACCGTCGCCGCGTGACGTCGCGTAACGACACACCTACCGCGTGACGTCACCATAACGCACGCCACCGTCGCCGTTGACTCGTTGGTGATTAGACGCACCGTCACGCGTGACGTCGCGTAACGACGCACCGTCGCCGCGTGACGTCGCGTAACGACGCACCGTCGCCGCGTGAAGCTCGCGTAACGACGCACCGTCACCGCGTGACGTCGCGTAGAACGAACGCTACCGTCGCCGTCGTGACGCCGCGTAACGACACACCGTCACCGCGTGACGTCGCGTAACGACGCACCGTCTGCGCCGTCCGTGACGTCGCGTAACGACGCACCATCGCCGCGTGACGGTCGCGTAACGACGCACCGTCGGCGCGTGACATCACGTAACGTCGCACCGTCACCGCTCGGACGTCGCCGTAACGACCACCGTCGCGCGTAACGTTGCGTAACGACGCCACCGTCGGCGCCGTGAGTCGCGTAACGACGCACCGTCACGCGTGACGTCGCGTAACGAGCACCGTCGCGCGTGACGCGCCGCGTAACGACACACCGTCACGCGCTGACGTCGCGTAACGACGCACCGTCGCCGCGTCAACACGTCGCCGTGCCGGAACGACGCGCACCGTTCGCCGCGTTGACATCACGTACAGCCACGTCGTCGCGTAACGACGCCACCGTCCGCGGCCGTGACATCACGTAACGACGCACCGATCCCNCGCGTAACGACGCACCGTCGCCGCGTGACGTCGCGTAACGACACACCGTCGCCGCGTGACGTCGCGTAACGACGCACCGTCGCCGCGTAACGTCGCGTAACGACGCACCGTCACCGCGTGACGTCGCGTAACGACGCACCGTCGCCGCGTGACGTCGCGTAACGACGCACCGTCACCTCGTGACGTCGCGTAACGACACACCGTCGCCGCGTGACGTCGCGTAACGACACACCGTCGCCGCGTGACGTCGCGTAACGACGCACCGTCGCCGCGTGACGTCGCGTAACGACACACCGTCGC